AGGACTGAGTCCTCAGCACTCACTGCCGGCTGGTGCAGTCTTTCATGTCCACTCCCTTTCACTGCTGCGTCTCTCTGTGGAGGCCTCTGGGGTCGCCAGCCAACACTGTGTGTCTGCAGGTTTGAACTGCTCCTCTCAGCAGTGTGTCCTGTCCAGGGAGAAAGTACCACTGGCTACCTCCTTCTTCTGTACTGAAGTTTGGCTCTTCACTCCCTCCGTGGGCTTCAATTCTCACTTCAGATTGTTCCTGGGTCCGGGGGACCCACTTCCCTCCTCCCTGTCTTCCTAACGTTGCTGAGTTCCAGTGTCTGGACAGCAACTCTCTGAGAGGCTGTTTCTCTGCTGCTTACCGCTCCACCATCTTCTGTAGTTATGATTTGGTACTGCATCTTGGTTTACCTTTCTCTTAACTGCAGGTGGTGTCATGTATGATCTGTATACTTGAGTTTAAGTTTTTATGAGTTTTAACTTTGTAAAAAATGTTTGTTTACATTTCATGGTAGTAAATGATACACAAGTTTTACACATATGTTTTATGCACTAGTGACCCACTGTATTAGTCAGTTTTCTCGTTGCTGGGACACAATATCTGTAACAATTTAAGGAGAGGATTATTTGGCTCATGGTTTCAGGGGGTTCAGTTCATAGTTGCTGGCTCCAAGGCAGAGACATCAGGATGGAAGGATGTGGTGGAGCAAAGTTGCTTAGCTGATTGTGGCTGGGAAATAGAGGATGGGAACAGCTCCAGAATGGAAGGTGCCAGATACAGACCCAGAGGTCACACCACCACAATCCACCCAGTCCTTTTCAGACAGACCCAGCAGTATGCTTTATTAATTCCCCAGGCAGCCTCTGAGCCAGTGAAGTAGACATGGTTAAACTTAATGAGCACATTCTACCTGTCAACTTGACTCAAAACATATCTCCGTAAGCCATACTTACTCTTCAGATAAACAGAACAGTGAATTAATAGTTCTGCTAAACATGGCACGTGTCATGTGCAACCGAAAATGCAGTCCTCCCTTCTCCAAAGTCTCTAATGTTAGATAACTCTTAGTTGTGAAACCTCTATACATAACAAAAACAAGTTACGTAAACCCAAGGTACAAGGGCACAGGATACAATTCCTATTCCAAAAAGAAGGAAGAGGGGATAGAAAAGAACTGGATCAAGGCAAGATGGAAACACAACAGGGAAAACATTAGGTCCTGTGGCTCCATATCTGATAGCCAGACACATGGTGAGATGTCAGTTCTACAGGGCTTGGCCCCACCCACTTCTGTGGCCTTGCTGGTTGCAGCCCCCATGCCCTCTTTCTCAGGCCATGCTGCTCAGAGTTTGCAGCTTTCTTTGGCAGATACATGGTATTCATGGCATCTTCAGTGTCCTGGGGACTTCACTGAAGTTTTGGCTTCATTCCCACCGCTTCACACATTGCTCTTTAGGGCATACTCTCCTGCCTCTAAGGCCTTCCTCTGAAACTTGGCTGGAAGCCTCCACAGCCTCGCAGCTTGTGAACTCTGCCTGCTTTTAAACGCAGCATCATGTGGGTGATGCAAAGTGGCCACCAGTGTGGGTCGTAGCTTGGCTCTCTTGGGTCATAGCTGCAGTGGCTTCTGAGTACTCGGAAGGTTGAGTACAATGCAATGAATTACAAAGAAACAGTTGCATAGGAGGCCCTTCTCAAGCAGGGGCTCAGGTGCTCTTAAAGGTTTACACTTTTGTATCCTTGAGCTTGTGACGGGAGTGGAGTCTTGCTGACTTCTGAGATACCGTCAAAGCTTATCTTGTTCTTGAACCAAGTAGTTGGTTTCATTTAAATGGCACTAATTTTTTTAAAATGGCACGAATCCTTCCAGCAACCATACCTCTTTTTGTCCTAATTGTACATGTGGGCCCAAAGTTTTTCAAATTTTTATGCTTATTTTTTTGTCTCAAAAGCTATAAATATAACTAAAAGCAGCTAGTAGTACTGAAAATTTCCTCAGTCAGATGAACCAGCCTATCCACCCTAATCTCAGTCTCCTGCAAAGTCTCAGAACACAGACTTTAAGCAAGTTTTCTGCTAGACTGTAGCACAGATGGCCCTTAGTCCAGATGCCAGTGGGATCCTTGTTCTAACTGAAACCTCTTGAGCCTGGCCTTTATTGTCCACATCCTGTCAGCGTCACGGTCTTCTGAGCTCCAGCCAGAATCAGCCGTCAGGCTCTGTGTCCTGTGACGTAGGACTTCTCTAGCTGGCCTCTTCACACTTTTCTAGACCCCTCTGGAAAGCCTGTTTCAGGCTTCTGAACCAATAGTCAGATACAGGCACAGCAGCAACCCCATTTCTTACTTTCTGTATTAGAAACTTTTTCTTAGTGTACTTCATAGTTCTTCTGTGAAGTTCATTTGTGAGCTTTTTTCATATTGTTCCAAATCTTCAGAAAGAAATGCACGTACAAGTGGAGCCCATAGAGTGAGGCTGCTTATGGAGAGCCGACTCCATTTTATTTTAGGAGACTGTGTCCTGGTCCAGTTATAGGCTTTAGACTCTTTACAGGAGGGAGGGTACAGGATTGAGTGGAGCTGTGCTAAGATGGGGCCACTGCTGGACATGTTTGACTGGTACTGGCTCATTTAATCCAACAGTGCTGCTGCCCTGGTTTTGCAGATAGTCAGATGGCAGATGTTAAAGACTTTTCCAGCTCCTAGTTGGCACGAGAGTCCAAGATCTGGCCCTTGAGTAGCTTGGCATTGCTTCAGACTGTTTGCTCCAGGATTAGGGACAGCCCATGAACATGTAGCCCCAACTTCACACCGCAGCCTGTGGTTAGCATGTGGTGACAGTGGTGACGATGTGTGTGAAGGTCGCCCTCTAAAGAGGCCATTTTTCCAGCATTCCAGAGCCAGCTGCACAGCAGGTGTGGAGTCAGCAGTGAACGAAAGAATGGGTGCTGTGTAGTCAGTGTTTCCTGTCCATTCCCAGGGTGCAAAGATGTTGGGACCAGTTTAAGAAACATGCAGCCCAAGAAGGCCCAGAGTTTACCTGTGACCTCTGATCATCCAATGGGGGGGACTTTCTACTAAGTTTCACAGGTTTTACCCAAGCGTCTTCAGGCTTTCTCCATCCAGCTGGTGTTCTCCATCGCAGTGGCTTGGAGCCAAGAAGCACATTTCCTTTGCCTTAGCTTTAAACCAACACACTTGACCGCTGTGAGCAATGACTGTGTCACCCCAAAGACCTGAGGTGTTGTTTGAGAGCAATAACTGGAACCCAACAATGAGCCACCTCGTCTGCCCTAGGCGGGAGGGTGGCTGCAGCTGTGAGTCAGCTGATTTTCCACGCAGAGCATCGAGAAGGAGAGCAGTGGGATGGAAAAGGAGTGCAGCCCTGGGAGGCACAATTTTGACTGTTGGGGCCCTGCAAGCTGAGTGCCAGTGGGGACGGTGCATGGGTGGCACTTTCAGAAGGTGAACCTCACACTGAGCTCAGAGGCTGCAGCTGGAGATGCAGCCAGCCTGTCTCCAGACACAGGAACAGAACACTGTGCTCCGGGCTTTGCTGCTCTAGGACCAGCAAGGTTGATGAGCTCAAGGTGCTTTCACGCTAGGCTCTTCCAGCTTATTTAGCAGCTCCAAAAGTTCTGTAGGAAATCTTTAAATTTCTGTTTTGCTTTCCTCAGTGGGATGCATGATCCTGTAACTGATATAAAGAATATCGTGAATGGTGTGGGCTGTGAGTTGTTCAAATGCAGTGTCTGTGCCAGGAGAGGTCACTGCTCCTCCTGGGAGGACATCTCATTGTTGACTGAAGATGCAACACGTGTGATGATGACCTTTCCAGGATTTAAGGCCAGGGGCCTGAGGCTTGCAGCCTCAGCGTGTAGAGATCACATCCTGTCTGTCTCTGTCCTCTCTGGTGACTGACACATTGCAGGTGTAATGGTAGCTGGTGAATTGTCCTGGGGCGTGCGTGGGCTGGCTGTTATCAGAGGACAGACGAGGAGCAGAAGAAAGTCCCCACTGAGGTGGAAAGTGCTATCTGGCTGTGCCTTTTTCTGGGCGAGTTTTAGGGTTTTGTAAATGTGCACATTCCTTTTGTCCTCCCTGACTAGTTGATGGTGTTCCCTCTCTGGACTGGATTTACTCCCAGGTTTGTGAGGTTCAGTTCTGAAGTGACTCCAGTCTCAGGCATGGGGAGGGCAATGGGCTTGGATACTGTCTGGTGCGTTTGTTCGCTCTCTGAGAGTTTACAGCCAACTGCTGCAAGGTGCTGGGGCCTCGGGGTGGTGCTCACTGTTGGGGAGCACCTTCTCCTCTGGGCTCCTCTGCTATTCTGTGTCTGCTTTGGAGCTAGCCAGGGACTGAAACCATGTGCCAGAATTAATCCCTCCTCCTCCGAGTTGTAGATGCCAGGTGTTTTGACCTAGCAATAGGAAAGACAAGGTTTATAAAACAAAGCAGCCAGGCCAGCGTGAGGGCTGCTCTCAGCGAGCAGGTCAGGTGTGCTTGCAATGATTTGGAAAGCAGCTTTCTGGACCGTTCACTAGTGCCACTGCTTCTGCCTGGCTTGCCAGAGCCCATCTTTTCTTCTCCCCCACCCCGTCACCCCTGTTGCCCCAGTTGTGCGCCTCCTGTGCCATGAGTACTTGATTCTCAACACCTCCAGGGACTGAGAAGGGGTAGGTGCCGGAGTGGGACTTGGAGCTGCCTGGGAGGTGATCTAGGTGGTCAGCTGCATAGCTCTACAAACAGTGGCATATGGCGTGTGGTGTGTGGCACAGTGGGATGGTGGACACCAGCTGCCTGCCTTGCTGCTGTGCTTCATAGGCAGGAGGTGTGGCCAGCTCCCAGGGTCACGTTACCACACTTTGAGCTGGAACTGTGCTCCAAGTCAGGTGGCCTGAGGTGGTAGGTGTCAGCCCAGTTGTCCCCGAGCAATAGGGCTAGCTGTAGGGCTGCTGTGCTTCTGGAAACTGGCTATTAAAAGAAATTCTTTGGTTTTTCTTTTGCTCTAGGTTGCTGCAGCCACTGGCCACACTGTGGTATTGGTGGACCAAACGGAGGACATCCTGGCCAAGTCCAGAAAGGGGATTGAGGACAGCCTAAGGAAGGTGGCAAAGAAGAAGTTTGCAGAGAACCCCAAGGTCGGTCCCCCATCTGATGTCCCTGCGGCCAGTGTGTGGGCTGCCGGCCATGTGTGCGCCTGTGTGTGTGTGTTCACGTTTCTGGAAACTCATTTCCGTGTGACTGTAGACTGATGCAGTAACAGTGTCACTGAAGTCAGGGTGATTAGGAAACTGAAGTAAAGGACTTGAGGTCGAGGAGAAAGTTTCTGCAGGCGCCGAGCCCATTCCAGAAGAGCACTGAGCTCAAGGTCGGGACACTGACTTGCCAGAAGGGAGGACAGGGAGACAAAGGAAGAGACTGGCATCATTTGCAAGGTGAAAACAGTGATAAGATGAACATGGTATTTAGATAGGAACTTTGGGTGTCCAGGCAGTATCTGATCCTGCCCTGTGATGAAGGGGTTCCACCCAGGGCGAGGCACCCCACTTCTGGGAGCAGAAGCAGGGTGATTGATCAGAAGAGAAGACCCACACCATGAGCTCCCTCACAGTCCTCGCTTTGAACACTCATCGTCCTTCCACTTCTTGAAGCAGCTCTGCAAGTCCTTTCCTGAGTGTCTTTCCAAGGCGAGATCAAAAATACTGTGAAGGCTGCTGCCAGTGCCATCCAAAGGAAGGGGCAGGGCAGGCTCGGGGAAACACCAGGGTGCATCTTCATTCACCGGATCTGGTACCAGGCAATGTCTGGCTCTTCCTCAAAGTCAAAATGACCGTGAAAGGTCAGTGTTCTGAATCAGTTCAGGACATCAAGGCAGCCAGGATAGTACAACTAAAGACACTGGGGAAGGGACTCCAGAGCTGCTGCAGAAAGTGGCAAGGACAGTGGGATGAGGGTGTTAGACGCCAGGACGAGGATTGTGAGGGGGAGTCATGGCAGTGTGCCTTTTACTGAAAGAAAGTTTCTAGTTTAAACTGGCACTGTGTGTTTTGCCCTTACCTTGTCCATCGGGCCGATTGGTGCCATGAACACACAGCTCTGCAGATGGATGGGTCTTGGTTACTTTTCTTGTAGCTGAGACAAAATACTTGACACCCAGAGTTAATGGAGGAGAGGTTTATTTGTCTTACCGTTTGTAGAGTTTTCAGGCCATCATTAGCTGACTCCAAGGCGGTTGCACTTGGCTGGGGGCAGTTGTTTGTGGTGGAGCGAGACAGCCAGAGCAGCCAGTAAAAGCCCATCTGTGTCATTTGTTGTCTGTGACTGCCCACCCCTGGCCGGGGTGGTGCTCACACGCTTCACCCCAGCTGCACACCAGTGCGTCACATGCTCGGTCCAGCTGCCTCTGAGAAAGCCCTGTGAGCGCGTGAGGCTTGGGGGACATCCAGATACAAACCTTAGGCGGTGGCCACTCCAACGGGGCAGCAAGTGTCTAGGGCGCATAGAGATGCTGCCACCGCCGCCGCCACTGAGTAGCAGGCAGGGGTGTGATCCCGGGAGCCCTAGTCGTGTGTGCCAGGTCTCCACCCTACTACAGGGCCTTTGCTGACGCTAATGCTGACAGTGACCGCTGTTCCCTTCTCCCACCGCCCCAGGCTGCAGATGAGTTCGTGGCAAAGACCCTGAGCAGCATCTCGTCCAGCACAGATGCTGCGGCTGTGGTACACAGCACCGACCTGGTGGTGGAGGCCATCGTGGAGAACCTGAAGGTGAAGAAGGAGTTCTTCCAGAGGCTGGACAAGTTCGCAGCCGAGTACGTGCTCCCTGACCCTCCTGGACATGGGCTGCCTAGTGATCCCTCCCTGTCCCCATACATGGAAGAAGTGGAGGGCGCTCTGGGCTGTCTGGCCAGTGTGTTCTCCGCTCCAGCAGAACCATCTTGGAGCCTTACTGTGGGGCCGACCTGGCTGTGGTGGCCTTAGAATGCCCAGGCTGCCTGCATCTCACCTCTGAGTCCAGAGCCTTTATCAGCGTGTGCTTCAGCTCTGGGCAGTTGTGACATGGGACACATAGATTCATGCTCCTGTTACCTGTATAGTCATGTCACCTGTATCAGGCAGACCAGGTTGTCAGAAGGGTTTTGGCAAGAGGGACTGAGTCACCTGGGAATGACTGCGTAGAGGGATGCTCGGTGTCACCCTTCGGGAAAGTCAGCCCTCAGCCATGGGAGTGGTGGCCATGAGGCCCTGCCCAGCAAAAAAGAGCCCCTAATCCTGTCGCCCAAGTGTCACTCTGCAGATGAGTGTGCAGTGACAGGTGGCAGAGAGGCCTGACAGGCAGGGACACTGTTGGGACTGGCATTGGATCCAGGTTGGTGTCCCTGAGGATTCAGCACCAACCCAGGACCTGAGACTCTGGCAGGTTCCTGAATGCTGGTCGTGGCCACTCCCAGTGGCCTTGGGCAGGGCCTGGCCAGCCTGGGCATCGGTGGGCCATCTGTGCTGCCCATGGAGTGGTGAGTGGTGTCAGTGGAGTCGGTGCCGCCAGCATCGGCTCAGCTTCCCGAGCGCCTGTTGGGGATTGGGGTCATGCAGGCTTTGTCACCGGAGTTTTGGGAAAGCAGAGCAGCTTGAGAGTAGAAGGGCCAAGATGTGGCCTTGCTGCTGGCCATGCCGCCCTGGACTGTCCCTTGGCGTTTTAGCTCAGCACCCCTGTGGAACACTGGCTGAGTCCACGGTGTCTCCCCTGGGCACCAGTGTTTCCCTTGTGCCCAGGCAGGTCATAGCTTCGTGGGCCATCAAGCCTTTTGCCTCAGCCTCCAGGGTGACTGGGACTACGGGTGTGTGCCACCACACCAGAGTGCCGGGCTTTTTGGAGCCAGTCTGCTGCTAGGCCCTCTCCTGCTGAGGCTTCTGGGTGGGTCCCGCAGTGTACAGGAAGGGTGGCCAGTGGTGCAGCCCCTGCCGGGGGCCGCAGTGGGTCCCACTTCTCTGCTGTCCTCACATCCCCACTCAGGCTGGCAGGGCGGGCTGGGGCTGGTGTCACCTTGCTGTGCTGTGCTGTTTCCTTTGCTGCCTCTAGGATGAAGGTCTAGTTGGGGACCTGAGTGACAGAGCAGGCAAAGAAGGGCGAGATTGGGTGTTAGGACAGTGGCGTGTGTGCTGTTGCAGGGTAGGCGCCCGTGTTCACAGTGCATACACACCAGTCCCTGTCACAGTGGCAGAGCAGGTCCCCGGGGAAGACATGCAGGTGACCTGGCCACCTCACAGCTGGCCCCCGCTGGCCCCGCGCTGCAGGTGGTGTGTCCATCCCTGAGCCTGTGTGCTCTCTGCTTTAGGGGTGGCTCCCTGGAGCCAGGCACAGAAGCACTCTGCCCTGCCCTGCTGGCCTCTCTGCTGCCCATTGCCCTGCCCTTAAGAAAACAGGAACCCTGAGAAAGAAGGTGGTCAGTCAGGGCCCTCTCCTGCTGCTGGGGGAAGCAGGGTGGGCACAGGCTGGTATGTGTGTTCCGGGCCACCAGGTGGCATTGCAGGAGCACCCAGCCATCTTGCCTGGCTTAGGCCTGTGGAACCACATGCTGAGGTCTCAGAAGATCGCCTTGGTGCAGGTCAGGACAGGCTTGAGCAGTGAGTGTGTCACTGGTCCACTCTGGGGCTATGGCACTGTGCCTTCAGCTCTTTGTAAGCAGAGTGCTTGACAGGTCATATGTGTCCTGGAGCTGCCCCCTTAGCGGGTGCTGGCAGTGACTCCTGTTTGCCTTTTCTTTTGCGTGGACTGTGGAAGGAGTTTTCTCCTGGGACCAGGACTTGGTGTTTTCCGCTGGGGGCCGGAGCGCTGGCTTGGTTCGTGGTGTTGGATTGCAATCTGAGGTCCCACTGCGCGTCTGGCCTCCCGCAGCTTTGCTCTGTGGCTGAGCGTCATGACATAGCCTTTTCCCTCCCATGCCCTGAACCTAGGCTGCCCTGCGTAGATGGGGCCAGGTCCGCAGGTTTAGGGAAGGTGGCGAGCTGTGCCTCTGCAGGCCATGCATGGCGCAGGGGCAGACCGTGACGAGAGCTGAGCCCAACTCTGCTCTGCTGCCTCGCAGTGGCTGTGGGGCCAGTGGCCAGCGGGGCCAGGGCTCAGCGCCTGTCTCTCTGCAGAGACACCATCTTCGCCAGCAACACGTCGTCCCTGCAGATCACCAGCATAGCCAACGCCACCACCCGGCAGGACCGCTTCGCCGGCCTCCACTTCTTCAACCCCGTGCCAGTGATGAAGCTGGTGGAGGTCAGTGGGGCCGCCCTGCGCTTGTGCCTCTCCTGCCACACCGCTCGCTGGGGACCCGGAGCCGCGGCGACTCGCGAGCTGTGGCTGCTGCTGAGTAAATGAACACCCGCATCTGCTGTCACAGCCAACTGCTTTGTCCCTGCTCAGCCCTCCGCACAGGTCCTGCTCCTTGTCCCCAGCTTGGCTTGCTTCTTTCTCCGTGTCAGGTCAGGTCAGCTCCCTGTGACTGTGGGGCTGGGGTGGGGCCCATGCGTGTTACACAGCTGCTGGGTCTGCAGGGACACCAAGGCAGTGCGGTAGCGCCTCAGGCAGGGGCGAGGTGTGGGTTACACTCGAGGGTGGAGGTGGAAGTAGAGCCCATCATGACTCTGGCAGGCATAAGTTTACATTCCAGTATGCGAACATGTGAGTGCATGCATGCACGTTTACCTTCGTCTGGGCCCTCAGTCAGATCTGATCCTGACAGGTGCATTCTGGGAAAGTCCCTGAGAGCTGCCCGTGCCAGGTGTTGACCTCACCAGGAGGCCAGCAAGAAATGCCCTGTCTGCCAGCTCCTGTGGTGTGACCTGAGCTATCTCCTTAGAGTGTCAGTGATCCAGGGTGACGTGTATGGGACAATGCAGTGGCAGAGCTCATTCACCCTCCAAGACAAGAAGGGAAGGCAGTGTCGCAAACACTGGTGCCCAGGGTGGGTGGGTCATGTGTCCTCACCCTTCAGATTTCCTGAAGTACACGATACAGCTGGGATCTGCAGAAGCAACCTGTTGCCCCCAAGCCTGAAACCTTGATTGTGTGTGCACAGCAGCAGGTCACTGTCCAGAGGAGGGCACCTGGGCAGCGTCTGTTTTGGCCTGAGAGCTCAGCTGCTGCGAGGAGCTGTTGGGCCAACGTTTGCTCAGGACACGTTGTAGTCAGCTCTAGTGCTCTGGCCCTGACTCTGCTGTGCGTCCCCAGGTCATCAAGACACCCATGACGAGCCAGAAGACGTTTGAGTCTCTAATGGACTTCAGTAGAAACCTGGGAAAGCACCCTGTGTCCTGCAAGGTAGAGCCTGGGGCGCTCATTGGGGAGTCATGGGGTGTGGGGGGTCTGAGTGCTTAGCCATGGCTCCAGGAGGGAGGGTGGGCACTTTCTGTCCTGTGGGCCACCTAGTGTGGTAGGGAGGGGTGCTCTGTGGTCTCAGGGACTCCAGACCTCACCAGGTGGGACAGCCCAGGCCCCCATGGGTCAGTCGTTGGAGCTCATGACTGAGCAATACCAGAGCGTGCAGCCTTGTGGGTAAGGGCCACATGCCCATCTGTGGGTGCAGTCACCCCTCTCAGTGGCAGTTCAGCCAGTGTGGCGGCAGGGCCACGATGCCTTGAGATCGGCCTAGGGTGAGCAGCTCTGTCACCTGTGCTGATGTGGCAGCTGGTGGAGACGAAGGCATGCATAGGCACAGTCATGTGTTTGCCTCCTACTCACATCCTCCGCTTCCCTCTGGAGGTTACTAAGTGAACTAGACCAGCCCTGGGCCGATTTGGTGCACCCCTGGTGGTGGGCTCGGGGGTCACAGTTGGAGCAGAGCCATGGAATCCAGGGCCCTGGCAGGTTCCTTCCGTCTCCACCCTGTGCTGTGGCCAGCCTGCGGAGCTAGGGGATGCGGGGGAGTAAGGTATAGGGCCCAGGCCTCTCCTTGCAGGGCCAGGCCCGATGTGCACCCACCTCAGGCAGATGGAGCCTTTGTCAGAAGAGGCTACATCAGCTCTGCAGAGATGGGAAGTGACAAGCCAGCGACTGCCCTTGGCGCTGTGCACTCCCCATGGACCCGTGCCTTGCTCATGGGCTGAGGGCAGGGACTTAGCTGAGGTGGCTGCTGACTGCACAGGGTGCAGTTGAGTTGTCACAGGGCCTGCACTGCAGTGGCCTCTGCATGGGTGGACTGTGTAGGGGTGCTGAGGTCTGCTCCTCTTCTGTTCCCACAGTGGTCTGGGGAAAGCACTCTTTGGGGGACTGGCAAGGCATCCATCAGGCTCCAGGGTGGGCCTTGGCCAAGTGGAGAGGATAAAATGCCTCCATGGCTCCTGAGTGTGAGCACTGCAGAGCAGTGGTGGCCCACACTGACAGCCACTTGCTGTGTCTCCTCCACCACCTGCTGCAGGACACGCCTGGCTTCATTGTGAACAGGCTGCTGGTGCCCTACCTCCTGGAGGCTGTCCGGCTGTACGAGCGAGGTATTGCCCTCAGCCCCGCTGGGTCTGGGTTGTCAAGGGGGCAGAGAAAGCCAGCCATGTCACAGGATGGGCCCAGCCTCCCTCACCATGCAGAAAACACCTCACTGTGAGTTCCAGAGCTGTGCCATGGGTGGGGGCAGTAAGTCCGAGTGTGCACCGCCCAGGCCCAGCCACTGCTCAGTAAAGCCCGGGTGGGGTTCTCCTGGCAGTGCCCCAAGCAGCTGGCAGGTGGCACTGGGAGCCGGAGGAGGAAGCGGCTTCCTATTCTGGCCAGTATGGCTGGTCGTACGGTGCACTGGGAAGCTGTTCTTCGGTGTCTAGGATGGCGTGCTTAGGTGGAGTGTGAAATGCACAGGTGTGCGTGTGCATGTGTGTATGTGTGTGTTCACTCCTATCACTCAGGACAGAAGTTTCAGGATTGCACCAACTTTGTGGAGCTGTTCTGGTCATTTGCAATGGGTCCCTGTGTCTCCATGGAGCCATCGAGCTCAGCACCCACATCCTGCTGTGTGGTCTGCGTGTGTGTATGTGTGTGTGTGGGCCCCGAGATGAGTGTCAGGCTATGACTTGGAATTGTGACCTGGGACCCCAAGCAGTGGCTGGGGGAAGAGAAAGGCTTAGCGTGGAGGACTCAGGCCCACGCTCCAGGCACAGGGTGTGCCCAGCAGTCACTCCTATGTCCCAAGGGGGCTGCAGAGCCCCAGAAGCTCAGGCGTGGAGTCCTGCGTGGAACCACTGTGCTGCAGAGCCACACACACCAGTGGCTTTCTCCTGCCACGTCCTCCCCTTCAGCATGGCTGTGGTGGTTCTGTGTGTTTCAGCCCTGTGTCCACCACATGGGCAGCTGCAGTGCTGGCTTTTCTGTCTCGTACTGAGCCCTGGCCACTGGGTGCACGGCTGTCAGAGGAGGCGCATCTCGGCAAGCCCTTGGCTTTCTGATGGCCCTGCACCCACATGTGCTTCGCCTCTTAGACACCCCCACGGACCACAGCTTGTTTTCCCCGGGTGCCCTGGTCTCCCCAGCATCACTTAGTGTCATGTGTGCTCACAAGGTGGTCTCTGGGGGGGTCTGAGTACTTATTGTTCCTTGTGCACGCAGGTCTGAGTTTATTTGGCTTTGCTGTGACTGACTGCTTCTCTGTGTTTTGAAACAGAATTTGAGATGCTGCCACTGCAGTCCTTCCAGTTTCTGGCTGCAGAGAAAGGCGTGGGCTTGGGAGTTCTGCTGGGTGGTCCCGAGGAAACACACCTGGCCCTTGTCTTGGCAGTGGCCACGCTCAGTTGGCTTTGGGCTCTCTTTAAGCAGCTTGCTTGCTCTGTTGGTTTTTCCCTCCTGTCCCCCAACTTGCTCTTTCTTTCTTACTGCTCAGCATCAGATGATGCGCAGCTGAGCTGGAGCCCCAGCCCCTGGGGACGGAGCTGGGCTGTTTCCCCTGAAAAGCCACAGAGCCCTTGCCCTCCCTGCAAGTCCGGGTGCAGGAGGCACTGGGCATATCTTTGGGGAGCAGCTCTCCAGACAGGCTGAGCAAGCGTCTGGGGTTCTCCTGGTTCTGGGCCTCTCCGGAGAGGGGGACTTGGGAGCTTCACTGTGATGCAGGGGTGCCCTTCTCCTCAGGTGATGCGTCCAAGGAGGACATCGATGTGGCCATGAAGCTGGGTGCCGGCTACCCCATGGGGCCTTTCGAGCTCTTGGACTACGTTGGGCTGGATACCACGAAATTCATCCTAGATGGTAGGAACCAGCACCATCCCAGCTTCCAGGGCCCCTCACCAGCGGCTTGGTGCATTCTGGGTGTTAGGACAGAGAACCAGGGATGGTTCTGTATAAAGAAAAGAGGGGTGGCTGGGGGACCACACACATGATCCGCAGGACAGGAGAGGCTCATGTGGCTCCTGCTTCTGAGATGTGTCACAGCATGGCATGGGGAAGGCTGTGTTGCCGGCTGTGGGATGTGGGGTGCGCGGTGCCAGGCACCTTGCTTTACCATGTTCTTGAGGGACAGATGTCCCAGATGATGCAGCCAACACCTGAGACAGCTGATCTGTGATCTGTGACTGGAGATGGGGACCCAGTGGCCCAGTGGCTTCACCAGGCTGCACTGGACACCAGGGAGCAAGCCTACAGCACTTGAGCCCATGGGGTCAAGCCATGTGCAACCCCAGCACCAGGCAAGAGATCTGAGTTCTGGGTCCCGGGTCCTGGGTTCCAGGGGACAGGAGCAGGAAGCCTTCGGTACTGTTCAGATTCCTTTCTGCAGCACACATGGGGTCAGAGGAAGTGGGGAACAGCACACAGGGCCCCGTGCACCCTTCCCCAGCATCCTCTCTGCATAGCACAGAGTAAGGGTCAGGAAGTAACTGAGGTACACTGGGTATTCTGTCACCAGCTGATGTCTGTAGCTCCATTGATTCAGGCAGACAATCATTTAAAAATAGATTCCATTAGTATAGTGTCTTTGAACACAGGATAAAAGTAATTGTGAAGCTGGTAATCCCAGCACCCTGGGAGGCCGAGGTAGGAGGATTGCAAGTTCCAAGTCCGACTTAGCAAAACCTTGTCTCAAAGTAAAAAATTGAATTAAGGGCTCATGATATACCATATTGTGATGGACCTGGGTTCAATCCTGGGTATTGAAGAAATACACATATGTACATACACACACACACACACACACACACACACGGGATTGCTAGCCAGCTGTAGGGACATACATTTGTAATCCCAGTGCTCAGGAGGATGATTGAGGTAGGAGAATTGCAAGTTCAAGTCCAATTTAGGCAACTTCATGACTTAGCAAGATCCTGTCTCAAAAGATCTTAGAAGGGCTGGAGATGGAGCACAGTGTGAAAGCCCAGGGTTCAACCCCCAGTCCTGCAAAACTAAGACAGCACAGCACTGAAGCACCACGAGAGAATGTGGTTCACTGCTCCCAGTCTGGCTGTGTGGGTAGAGAGGGTCGTCCTGGTGGTGCATGGGGCTTTGGAGTGGCAGCATTGTTTGCCTGTGCCCTGCGGCAGCTGAGCTGCACTGACTCGGGCATGTACAGATTCTGTGGTGACTTGGACTTGTGCTGTCAGAGCACAGCAGACCCCAGCCGTCGAGCAGGCTCCCTGCACAGCCCCTGGCATGGGTCCTGCAGCCTCGGTGGATGCCCTGGGAGACCCACAGCCAGAACAAGCCCTGTACTTCACCCCCTTTCCCTAGGGTGGCATGAGATGGATTCGAAGAACCCGCTGTTCCAGCCCAGCCCTTCCCTGAGCAAGCTGGTTGGGGAGAAGAAGATGGGCAAGAAGTCCGGGGAAGGCTTCTACAAGTACAAGTGACTTGCTTGCCTTGGGGGTCGTGGGAGCCTGAGGCTCCAGTGGGAGTGCAGGGCGGGGCAGGGGCTCTCTCTGGTGCACCTGTGCCTGGCCCTGCACGGAGATTCCTGCCTGGAGCTGAGCCGACCCACCCTCACTGCGTTTCCACTGAGAGCCTTACACCTTGGTGCCTTGGCGTGGGTGTCTTTGAGCCTCTGGCTATATACCCTTCCAGCCCCCATGTGGGAGGGGCGCCCTTCCTCCCAGAGCCCTCGAACTGCCACCATGCTGTCCCAGGTCCCCTGGGGTCTTGGGGCTTTGGGGGTGCGGGGACACCAGCCGCCATGTGGACTGAGCAGCTCTGTCTATCACCACCATGGCGGGGGGGAAGTATCCAGACCCGCAGGGGTGTGTGGTGGCTGTCTCCTCTCTGTCCGTGAGAAATCAGTGCTGTACACAGCCTCTCCTTGATTCTGATACAGTGGGATCCTTTAGTCTGTGAAGCTTTGAATGGGAATAAACACCTGTGATCTAATGGGCAGAAGGCTGCGTGGATATCCAAGTGACGGCTTGATCACCGACCGGCCCTTGGAAGCAGTGCAGTGGGGCGGGGCGGGGCGGGGCAGCCAGGCTCAGGCGCCTCAGGAACATCTGTTTCTCTTTGCCAACAAAGTGGAATAGCGAAACCCTAGCTTCTTTAATCATTGGCCCTCAGGCCCCACGAGAGAATCCGAGCTGGGGACACAGCGCCCTGAGGTCGCGCCCACTAGCAGAGCCACCTCAGCCAGGCCCCCACTGCCCAGTCGGTCCAGGCTCTGGGGGTGAAATCCAGCCCCACGAGCAGTTGGGGAAATCCTGTATTGAAGCTTTCAGACGGGCCGACCCCAAGATGGAGTGCCTTGTTTTGTGTCCAGGGTTATGTTTCTCATGTGTTTTTTTATTTATTGATTTCATGATTGATTAAAAGCTCTTTAGTTTTAAAAAAAGTATTTGAGGGACTGGGGGTTTAGCTCAGGTTCAGGTGCCTGCCTGGTAAGCATGAGGTCATGAGTTTGATCCCTGGTACCAGGAAAAAAAAATTTGAATGTGGGCAGAGGCAGGAAGATCACAAGTTGGAGCCCCACCTCGGCACCTGTGTGCCAAAGTGGGGGTGGATGTTAGCCCCGAGTCACTTCAGTGACCTGCCTGAGATGCGGCCATGGTCACGGGTAGCCGCAAGGCAGACCTGGAGGAAGCCTGTGGCCTCTGCTCACCAGGTCATTTGAGGGAGGGGTGACTGGGAGATCCGATTAATGTTTAAATGAAATGGGTTCTGGGGAGAATTTGGAGGGATTCATGGCAGTATGTTTGACTATGGTAAATCTAAAATGTTGAACACTCCTTGTATGTTTTGGTCCCATTGTGTGCACTTGGTCAGGGTTGCCTTCCAGCCCTTGAGCCCGGAGGTGAAGCTGTAGGGGAGGATGGAGCGTGACCTTTCACCCGCCATCCCTGTGCAGCAGGCCTGAGGAAGGGGGGGCGGTGTGTGTACAGGCAGGATCGGCCCTATCTGTGCACCCCATCTGGGGGCGCAGCTGCCTCCCTCCCATCGTTGGTTCATGGTGGGCTCTGACCATCAGCACTGTGTCCTCACCAGCCGTATTCAGCACTGTGTCTTTGACAACCCAAGGTGGGCTGTTAAAATTTACAGGCTGATTTTCCTTTCTCCTGGTGCCTGCCCTTACTGACTAAATGGTGTGTGTGTGTGTGTGTGTGTGTGTGTGTGTGTGTGTGTGTGTCTGTGTGTATGTGTGTATGTATGAGTGAAATTAGGAGTTATTTTGCTGGAAGAATTTTGTGGCATTCCTTTATGCAAGTCACAGCTAATCCCAAATGCAGAGAGGCCCCATGAAGGACAACACATCTTACCAGTGTCACTTGCAGTTTGTATTTTTGCAGTATTAGAGATGGGCGCAATGCCTTGCTGGAAGATGCTCTGCTGAGCTGCATCTGGGCCTTTTTTTTGCGACTGTGTCTCACTAAGCTGCCCGGCCTGGCCTCAGACCTGTGATCCTCCTCCAGCCTCCTGGGGAGCTGGGATGAAACACCTGTGCCACCACATTCAGTGGGGACTGTTTTCATTCAGCTCCTGCCTCTCTGCACCCCAGGGTTCCTGATGACACTTGAGGTCCCCGTCCCTACTGGCCAGAGGTCTCATGTCCAGTCTGACATGCTGCTGTAGGGAGAAAGGGTAGGGGGAGCACGGACACCATTGTGCTAAGCACATTTGAGTTGCAGTGGCCACGTGTGTCTTGTTGAGGGTGAAGACGCAGGCACGGAAGACAGGTTTTGGAGGCTGGATGCATGGCATGAGCCTCAAGGAGCAGGTGGCAAGGAAAGAGTAACCCTGCTGCATGAGGCCTGAGGAGGTGGAGGGCACCACCCCTGCCTGATGCTCCTATGGTGCTTTAGGTGAGATGGTGTTCAGGGCTCCTCTGGGCTTGGTCTGCCCTTGCTTTGTGAGGTGGTACAGTGTCCCCAGGGCTGGGTGTGCAGGGCAGGCTGTGAAGCTACAGGGAGGTAGGGTGCAGCATGACCTTTCACCCAGCAACACACTGAGCAGTGGGGCAGTGGGCACCTAAGACGACAGGAAGGCCAGTGCGCGGGCCCTATTCTCTCTGGTCACTTCGTACGTCTTGCTGATGGAAGGAAACACCATTGCAGTGTAACTCATCGACCCCACCAAGCTCTGATGTGAGACAGGTTAAAGGTGGAGAGGTGCCTGGTCACTTGATGCACTGCCTGCGGGAGAGACAGTTAGGGTGACAGGTGATCACGCCTTCTATTTCTGTGCTGTGATCTCGTACCCTCCCTGCAAACCTCTGCTCTACCAGTTTCTCCCACATTTAATGGGGATAAAACCTGCTAATTCATTTAGCTGGCAGTACATCTCCAGTATTAGAGATTAAAGTAAATCGGGGTAGATGACTAACGCCCCAACGCTGTCCTCTTGATTTAGTTAGTCCTGATTACCACCTGCTGCTCTGGGCTGAAGAAATACATTTGATGTTCTACAGCTTCAGGCGATGCGGAAGCAGGATACTTTTACAGTGGACCAAAAAAGCACATTTCCTAACAAACTACAAAATGAGGAAATCTATTCATTGGCCAGTTTCCATCACCACCCATGCATTTGTCCCAAAGAAATGGCTCTGGGGGTTCATGAGGGGCTCAACCGTGGCTGAAGCTCTGCAACTCCAACCTGGGCTTTCCCCTGGACACCTGCTGCTAACATGATGACCACCCAGGGACAAGGATGCTGTGCGTGTACCACAAGAGCAGACAGTGAACAATTTGATGACCAGAAAACACTTTCTACAGTTCTTTGAGCAGGGCTTTGGCACTCTGTAACAGTGCAGTGAATTACATCTTTAATATTAGTTGACTCTCAATAGCATTGGTGATGCGTGATTAGCATTTCCCTTCAATAAAGGGAAATAACTGATGTTCACTTGAGTTCTGAAGGTCGACTAAGTTACTAATTTTATGTTATCTACTGTGTGTGACGTTTCACCAATTCATGAGAGCCCTGCACATGTGAAATAGTGACGCTGGCATCACGCCTGCCCTGTGTTTACCCTGAGCGACTGCCGGCTGCAGAGGAAGATCGTGGAAGGTTTTCCATTGCACAGTCACAGGAGTTTAGAAAAACAGCTTCAGAATGATAGCCAAGAAAGGCAGCCGCTGTCCTTTTGTTCCTTTTATGCGACATTTAGAGTCACATCCTTCTAGCGTTACGAGGGGTAGCTTTTAGTCTGCACCCCAAAGCAGCTCAAATGCTCCTGAGTGAAGCTCTCACGTTAAACCCCAGGTGTCCTGCACTGCCCCCGGGCAGTTCTTTATGCCACAGAAAGCTGCACATCAGTCTTGTGCTGGGAACAGTAAGCAAAACACACCAACCAGTTGCTGTCAGGTGGGACTGAAGTTTCTGCTGAAACTGTGCATTGCTGCAGGACTCTCAAGAGGAAGGCCACACACGTCTTGTTCTGCTCGTGGCCTTTATTAGGGATTTCCATATTATTTGACCAAGTCGTTTGAAAATCAGTTCTACTCAGGGCAGCTGGAGCCAGGAGAGCCCCACCCAGCTCACAGAGTTGCAGCAGCACCAGGGGGAGCAGAGTTGCACAGGCACCAGGGGGACCCTGGCACCAGGCCTGGAGAAGGCGCCCCCAGAAAGAAGGTGGACCACCTGGCACGGCCCCCAGCTCTGTGTGCTGTGGGAACGAGGCCCCAGGAGTTCCGTGTGCCTGAGATACTCCCCTTGGTCCCCAGCACGCAGGCCTTGGAGAGGAGTTGGGTGGACAGCAGAAAGGAGCCTGTGCAGGATGCCAGTCACTTGGGAAGATTTATTCTGGAAGAAATGAGGCAGGAGGGGACAAAGACAATGGAGGGAACAGCTGGGCATGGAGGGGATGAACAGTTCGTGTTTCCAGTGCTGCTGATTCGTTCATTCATGCACCGTGAAGTGCGAGGCAGGAGGAGCAGGAGGAGGGTGAGCTTTGGCCAAGCTGTCTCTTTCTAGTTTACGTCCAGCGTGTGTGTCTTCAACACACAGGTGTTTAGTAGTTACTTGTGAGACCTAGAAGAAATACCACCTTTTCTTTTCCCCCCAAAAGTAACACTCTTGCCTTCTACACTGTCTCATTGTATTTTCTAGTTAACTCCCCGAATGGGGACAGTGGCCGCCTCAGCCTGCCTGACAGACTCTGTTGACAGACATTAAGAAATGTGAGCGATTTTCAGATGAAGTTCGGGTTAGGCCAAATACAAAACCTTTATGACAAGTAGGTCCTCTGAACATACTTTCCCCCGGTTCAATTTTAGGACTCAATGAAGAATTGGAGCGTTTCCAGAGGGCAGTAATGAAATGATTAAAGGACCGATGATGAAAGGTTCAAGGAATTGGGATTACTTAGCCTGGAGACGAGGATTTGAGGGGTGATTTAATGGCAGTCTTCAAGCACAGCGCAGAAGGCTGTTACCAGCGTGGCAGCCAGCTGTTCCCCAGCTGTGCTGCGGGGTGAGCGAGAAGGGAGTTCCTGGGAGGGAGGCCAGGCCGGTGGCACCAGAGCTGCTCAGCGTAGCCTGCGGGTAGAAGTCTGTTGTGGAAGACTCAAAAGCCAAGGGTTGGAAGTGCATCTCTTGCTGAGTCACATGACAAAGCCTTAGGGTAAAATGAGTCACAGACATAAAAGGGCCACTTAGTAACATGAGGGAGACTCTGGGACCCAGGGCCAGGAACACGGGCACCTCGGGAAGGGGCTCACCCGGAAACCACTCCCACCCCATACCCTGTCTCCACCAGGCAGAGGAGGCCCGGCCACCTCATGGCACCGGTGCCCGCGCCAACTGCCCCAGCTGGTCCAAACTGGCCTCAGGTTCACTCTGAGCAACCAGACAGCATCAGGAACTTCACTCTTAATAAAGGGGCATTTCTTTTTAAAAATGTTTTATTACAAAGCTTCTTTTAAAAAACGCTCAGCACATTAACTCAAACTGGAATGACAAAGGTTAGAGACAGTTTGGGGCAGGGGCTGCGCCTTGCTCTTTAGAAAAATGGGTACATCGATGCTCATTTCAACAACTGGCATAAAATCCCACTAACTGCCTAGTAAAACAGATACAAATACAGGACATTGAAAGGAATAACAACTCAAGTGCTGGGCTTTTTACAACAAGGGGTGAAAAAGAACAAAACTGAAGGTCACTGCAAACTGGTCTGAAGTGTGTGTCAAGGTTACTGTTTAAAAAAGGGAAACAAAATCAAGGAAAACTAAGTGAACGGGAGTGCCAGTCGCTACCCACAGAGCGGTCTCGGACACCTCGTCCTCGCAAGGACAGAGGACACTGCTGTGACGCAATCACGGAGAAGCCGCTCGCGGGCTGCGATTTCTCAGAAACAGGAGGCTTTTCATTTGTTTTCATTTCAAACTTTTCCTGACCTTTAAATTTTATTTAAAAGCTCAGAGCTAGCAAAATATACAACAAGAAATTAAACCTAAAAAGTGTAAATTTTTTTTAAAATTCAAGTTAAAAAAAAAAAAAGCAAACAAAAGATTGACCAAAGTTCTGCACTGTTAAATAAAAGCAGTAGGAGAAAGGAAGGAGAAAACGAAGACAAAACAGAGGGGCCGCTCCCACAAATTCCTGTGCTGGGGTGTGACCAACAGGCTGACCAACGACAGATGGACATGATGGCTGCTGGCTCCAGCTGCATGGCAGGCAAAGGCGGCCAAGGTTTTGTCCTTGCCCGGGGATGGTGCGGGCACAGGTGCTCTGAAGAGGCGGGGAGGAAGCTTCCTGGCCGGTAGGGTCCTGCTAGCATTCTCATGTGCTCTGTAACTTCCTTTTAAAAAAAACAACCACTTTGATGCTTTCTTCTGGAACGCGGCTGCTGCAGTAGACGAAGGGGAGCGGCAGTGATTGTCTCCATGGAGGTGTGTCTCGAGCAGGGACCTCAGGGCAGGCCGGTGTGCGCACTCCTTGGGGTCGCCTGTGGAAGCCGTGGAGACAGTCTGGGTTTTCAGCAAGCTTCCATCTCCAGCAGAGGTCCTGGGGTCGCTGCCTTGGCTTTGCACGTTGGGAAGGAGCTGCGTTTGCCACCTCAAGAAGAACAAAGGAGAGGCTGTTAATATGGACTAGCACAGGCCTCTGCAAGACTGACGGCTGTCCACACACCAGTGTGCCCCATCAGACCTAGTGGCCTGAGGACGGCTGGAGTGGACCGTGCCGCGGGGGCCCCCACTGCCTTCAGCTCATGACACAGTTGCCGTGGGGTGAAGGCCTGCCGTGCTTGCTCCGGCTCCACACCCGTGCGCGTACCGCGTCATGATGCGAGGCGGGCTTACAGAGCTCGGTTGTGCAGACGTGCTGGGAAAGCAGCTGCAGCACCTGGGCAGGGGCGGCAGCTGGGTTGGGGAAGGGGCTGTCATTCTGAAGTGTCCGGTGGCTCTAGTGCCCTGCAGTAAACACTACAACGTCCCCAGCATGTTGCCCCCTGGGTGTGCTCCACCCCTTTCCGCTCACATCCCAAGGCAGGAAGCCTCTCCTTTCCACAGAAGATCGAGTTCTGGGTAACACTGGAAGGGACCTTCAATAAATACTTTAAAGTGACCGTTATTAGATACTGGAGGAGGGAATGATTTTCACCAAGAACCCCAAATCCCAAAAGCTTTAGCCAAATGAGACTAAGAAAAATGACCAAGAAAAAACCCTTCACAAGAGGGCCTCGATCCCTAGCACCAGGACACGAAAATAGGGGAGAGACTGAGCTGCAGGAGGTGAAGATGTCACATGGGCTGTCCTTCCCGCCTGTGGCCCCACTTCAGCTGGGGTGTCCTCATCACAGGTTTCCTTTAAAAGAGAGCCTGGAGGCACTGGGCTGCTTCGTGCTTTCATCACGGCGAGTAGAAAGAGGAATTGGGGGAGAAATCACATAATGAACATGCGACTCAATGGTGAGGTCCAGGTTGCAGAGTGCTTTCCACAGGGCACAGTGACGGGGATGGGCTATGTCCCCCTCCTCGCAGGTGCACTGCGGTGTCATTACCAGGACTGCTACCAAGGCTGGCATCTGTGATGACAGCAAAGAAATGGTGAGTACCCCAGTGGCTCCGAAACCCAGACATGGAACATGGGAGGCCTCCCAGGGTGGCTCCAGCTCCTGTCCTGTGGGCCAGAGGACACTACAGAGAAAGAACAGGGGCCACAGAGCTTCACACAGGAGCCTGAAGGGCCACACAGGACCTTGCTCTTCACAGAGGCAACAACAGGGCTCGGGGTCTGGTCTGGTAGGGACCCCAGATTTCCAAAGGCCAGTCCAGGCCTTCCTGGAGAGCTTTTCCTCTCCTGGTGACTTGAAACCCTTAGCCTCCTAGTGAAGAACGACCTCGACGCCTGCACACAGGCTGCTCACTCAGAGCTGACAGGCCAGAGGCCACCAGGACCATCTGTGGAAGGGGACAGCCTGTCCCTCCACCCCAGCTGGGGAGCCGCCTCTGTGGCCCCACCATGACCCCTCTCTGTGTGGGACCAGGCACTGCCAAATCTGCTGGGCTCCCTCCCCTTCTTGGGCTGGGCACAAGTGGCAGTGAGAGGGCCACTCACCTCAGAGACAGGATGTGATACCTGCACGGTCTCGGGGCCTGACAGACCCATTCCTTCCCAAACTCTTGCACTGCTGTACCCCCGACTGTGTCCCTTTGCCCTGTCATCTGCCAAGTTCTCTGGACGAGCTGGCTCAGAGGGCCACCACGCTGCCTTGTGCTTCCCTGATAGCCGGTCAGGACTCCACAGCAGCCAAAGAGCCCCTCACTCTCCAATCAGGCGGCGTGCGATTGAAACTATGGCGAGTGCTAGGCATGCTGGTGACAAGAGACACGTGCCATGAGCCCTCTCGGGGCCCTTTTCCTCTCAACACAAAACAGCTCTGGAGTCCTCTGTCCTAGGGTCTTTTTATTACTGCTTCAATGTCCTGCATCGATGTAAAACCTTTACCTTTCATGGTCATTTTGACTTTGGGGAGGAACCCAAGGACACACAGTGCCAGATCTGGTGACCAGGGCGGATGAGGACACTGCATCATGGTTTTAGGAACCCACTCTTGTGGATGGCATTGGGCAGTGGCATTCACTGTATTTTTGATCACGCCTTGTGAAACACAAAAGGCAGCTCCAGAGCTGCCTCGGTGACAGGATTGTAACAGGACAACTGTGTGAATGGGGGAGGACTCTGCGGGGCTCTCGTTCCAATGTGTTGAAAATGTAGATTTACCGAATCCCCCCATCCCTTGCACACAACAGCCAGGATGTCCAGATGGGAGAGGCAGGGGCTGCTGCCTCAGCAGCCACAGGCACAAGGCCCTGTCATGGAGGAGGCCCACGTGGGAGGCTGGGTGGTAGGGCTGCAGTGCGGGCAGGCGGGCCCCGCCTTGACCCCTCTCTGTGCAGGGCCAGGCACTGCCAAGTCTTCTGGCTCCCTCCCCTTCTTGGGCTGGGTGCAAGTGGTGGCAGTGAGACGGCCACTCGCCTCAGAGACAGGATGTGATATCTGCACGGTCTCTGTGGGGCCTGACGGACCCATTCCTTCCTGCACATTCAGGTGGGACTCCCTTGGGCAGGGCCACCACATCCCACCCAGGGGTGCTCTGAATCCCCCGGCCTGAGCTACAGGCCCCAGGAATTGTCCCACTAGCCAAGCAGCAAAGGCAACCTGGGAATCCTGACACTGGGAGGTGGGCAGTGCCACCCACATAACGCCAGGGCTTGGTGCCAGAGCGGCAAAGAGGGTGCTCCGTCCAGGAAGCAGAGGCTGTTCCATCCTTTGCTGGAGGGGTGAGGGGCCAGCAGGTGGGAAGAGGACAGAGGTCAGGTGGGAGGCTGTGTCCCCTGTATGGTGCACAGGGTCACGTGAGCTGGGAGAAGGGGCTCCAGGTTCTGCACAGGCAGCAGGAGGAGCCCCAGCTTCCAGGCAGGAATGTGGTAACGGTCTGTGAGGGACGGCAGACGGCTGCAGGGCCCCTTCCCCAGACACTGACAGAAACCTGTCATTTGTCACGGGCAGCACAGCTTAGGGAGCAGGCAGCAGTGGAACAGGCTGGTTTCACGTGCTCAGCAAGGACACCCAGGCGCCTGTCGGAGTGATCAGCCAGGTGACCCCTAGAGGGCAGCATGGGCCTGTCCCCAGCACCGACGGCCTGTGAGCCACAGCAAGGTGGCCGGGGTGTAAGGTGTTGTGGAGGAAGAGATGAGAAAAACAGTCCCCGAGCCCTGATCACCCGGTAGCATTACATGTGCTGGAGCGGCTGGGTGTGTGCGGCTGGGATCGCCCTGCCAGCAGGTGGCAGTCTGAGTGCTAAGCACACAGCCACAGAGCACAGCTAAACTCCGGTTCACTTCCTTCTCTCCGCCCTTACCTGGGGCAGGGGTCCCGTCCAGCATCGCAGCCACCCCTCTGTCCCCAGCATCAAGCTCTAAGGGCAGGATCGCCACAAGAAGCCCCTTAACCCGGAACTTAAACCTCAGAGTCCAGCAATGGCCCACAAGAACCACCGCAGCCCCGTCAGCCATGTGCCCAGCAGGAAGAACGTGGGCTCAGCTCTGTTTCTGCAGCTGAAATGGCCCTCAATGCTTGGTGCAGGCCCAGGGAGCCTCTAGCCACAGAGCCCAGCTCCCTGCAGGAGTGAAGGCAGGACAGAGCTGTCCCTAGGTTCTGTTAGACTGGGACATGGCCTGCTGGGAGTGTGTGGCGGGTTGCTGTCAGGATGACTCAGTGGGCCAGGGACGACCTTAACAATTCCTGGGGATGTGCTGGTCCCTGCTGCGGCTGGGCCATAGGGACAGATGTCCTGTGTGCAGGTGGGCAGACGCAGACCTCCCCAGTGGAGACGACAGGTCCCTGGGCAAAGAGGAGAGTGGCAAAATCCTGGGTTCTGCAAACCTCATTGCCTCACGGGAACAGCGACAAGCTAGGCTGGCCCCTCCTCACCACAGCTCTCGTGAAGCATGCGCACTCCACCTTCTAACCCAGGGACAGGATCCGTGAAGACACTGCCTTCTTTCTGTCTCTATAAACTTGGTCCATGGTTACATCTGTGTCTGGCCTCCAGAAAGGCACACATGGTGTGGGGAGGCGACACCCCGGGTAGTATAAGAGCCCAGATGCTGGGAAGAGCCTGGGTGAGGCTGGGGCCCTGTGGATCATCCTGGACCTGTTCTCAGCACTGCCCTGGGTCCTCATCTGTAAAGGAGACAGTAAGCCACTGTCCCTCACTGAGTGTGTGGAGGGTGGGGAAGGCACACCGTGCACAGCCAGGCAGGAGCAAGGTCAGGGGAGCTGCTGCAGTGGGCAGGATGTGGGGCTGAAGCAGGCACCGCGAACCTGGCTGCTGCGAAGTAGCCAGGAGAAGGGACCCATGGGGAACTGGGGCGCCACACGCAGTGCCTGCACATTGGCACTATTTGTGCTGTTCAGCGTCTCGTGGCACCTGGTCAGCAGGGCAAGGGCCACCCACATCACTTACAGAGGGTGCTGCAGAACAGCTCTCGGGAGACAGCACTCTTAAAGACACAAGGACAACTGAGAGAACAAACCCTGAGAGGCAGGGCAGGTCACTGAGAATACAGCAAAGGGACAGCTAGGGACTCCAGCCAGGGAAGTGACGACCTGCGCAAACACGCGAGTACCACGCAAACGCTTCTGATCTCTCCGGTCCCCTCACAGGGCTGAAGGCAGAGTCCTCTCAGGCTCCCAGTGGTCACCACCTCCCTCCCCAGGTCCCAGGACCAGCAGCTCGTGACAGGGAGCATAGGTGAGGAAGAGGAAGCTAACCATGTGCAAACACCACTGCGGCACCAGGGACGGTCTCTCTTCCTCTGCACGCGCGTGTGATCTGGGAAGCTCCCACAGCACACGGGAGCGGGGGAGTGGCCCCAGACAGCACAGGAAGACAGGAGAACAGTGAAAAGCAGTTTTGAAAAATTGCATTGTTCCCCAAGGTCACCCTCCTTCCTACTGGTTCCTGCTGCTCTGTGTAGGGGATGTGGAACGTTGCCTGCTTCACTCCCGAACGTTGCTGACGTTAGGAGTTGCATGCAATAGCAGTT